CACACACACACACACACACACACACACACACACACACACACACACACACACACACACACACGTACCCAGCAGTTTCTTCCAGGACTTGATAAGGACTTTGGCCAGAGTCTGAACCTCCTCATCAGAGCTCTGTTTCCTCACAGCATTCACCGACATGCCAACTCTGGTTGACTACAGTTAATATTTTCAACAAGCAGAAACACAAGCAATTGTTATTTTCTTTGAAAGAAAACAGAACAATGAAAGATAAATTTGTACAACAGTTTCCAGCCAGTACTCAAAAGTACTAGTAAAAGTGTTTTACTTTTGTAAATAGCTACTTGTGGAAATAAAAAGTCATTCATTAAAAATTTATTCAAGTAAAAGCTTTACAGCTTCTGTTTATCCAGAGGTTTCTCTGCGGCCCCGCAAATCTGGTGTGGTGTCCGTTGGCCTGCCTCATTATGAATCGACTGGACAGGCTGGAGCTCAAYACGTCTCTGTTCTTGATGAACTCAGAACATCTGAACACTAACACCTTACAAGCCCTCTACAAACGCCTGTTTAAAGCCTGGAGCCTGCTGAGAATAGAGACACACTTGACAATGCTGCTGCTCTGGCCTCCAAAGTGGGGGTGAAGTCAGTCCGGGTGGTTGCTCTGCTACTCAGAGTGGAAGGCAGTTCTGTCCGACTCTGAATTGACTCTGTTGCACCAGTTCACCAGCAATCGTGACTTTTCTGTTGTTGGTGGTGATTTTCCCACTGTAAACATTCTCCCAGATTTTAGAGATTCCAGTGGCCCTCTGCTAAAATGCAAGTACATTGGTTCAATACAAACTGCTAAAGGTAAACAAATGTATAGATTATCTGTTCAAGTCTTACATAAAGACAAGCTCAAGAGTAGAACTGATACATTTTGGAGGTCTCTCAGTGAGGATGTTGGCCCTGAATGGAGAGCACTCTACAAGCCACCGCTTGCAAAAAGAGTTGCAAACTTGCAATGGAGAGTTCTACATGGAGCAATAGCWGTAAACTYGTTTGTATCAGTTATTAAMCCCACAGTRAGTCCTGAGTGCCCATTTTGTTCTCACAAAGAAACTGTGTTCTGCAGTCGTTTAAATTATATTTCTTTTGAGTTTTTTTACACCATGTCATGATACCTGCTCCATACAAATGTTCATTCTWGGATACAGATATTCAAAGAAGCATAAAGACAAATGTCAACTATTTAATTTCATTTTAGCAAAAGCAAAGATGGTCATTTATGTTAGTCGGAAAAACTAAGTTGAACAATTTAATGATGTGGATGYTGTTCTCTTATTAGAAAGGATGCTTAGGGCATGCTTACAGATAGATTTTGATCAATTTTTATTGAAAAATGACTTACCAGTAAGTGGTTTTTGTAATGTGTGGAGTTTTAAGAATATTCTGTGCCAGGTTTCTGAGAGAGAACTCTCCTTTAGTTCTCTGCTCATTGAATAACTGATTTGCTTTTTCTTTGAAATTTTGTTGCAGAAACTGTGTTTCTTAAAGTGATGTTTTCTCTCTCCTTAGTAATGTTTTGTTAGGGTTTTTARTTTGTAATAAAGGTTTTTCTAAAATCAAAATCTCACATCGAAAAAGGAGAAGACTTTTTTATATTTTTACAAATTTTATTTGGACAAAGAATGTGTCTTTGGAAAGGTTGTATTTTTATTTATTTTTATTTTATCATTATTTAACCAGACAAATCCCATTGAGATCACAGATCTCTTTTTCAAGAGAGGCCTGGGCCTGAAGGCAGCCTGTTGTACATGTTGGGGAAACCTGGAGAAAATCCACGCAAGCTCGAGGAGAACATGTAAGCCATTCAGAAAGACCCCAGGTCCATACCCAGGACCTTCTTGCTGTGAGGCGTCAGTAATAACCACTGAGCCGTCACGCTGCCAATAATCTTACATCTTTACGCTTGGAAAGATGATGATATTGGTCGTGATCAGATTACAACAGAGCAACAGAACATTTTCCAGGAGCCGGATAAAAATTTTTTTTTCTCACTCTAACAGCTGATCTTCAGCCGTTTCCAATGAAGGAAAAAACAAACAAACAAAAGAAAAACAAGTGTTTTGGTAAGTTTGCTTCTATCAAGATCTGGTTATCAAATGAAATTAACAAGTAACACAACAGTATTTAACTCACTTTTATTTGATATTTTTTGCATTTTGATTGCTAGAATAGTTTTGGTGCATTGGCAGTTAAAAGTTAGGGTGTTTTCGGTCGCTTTAACACCTGGTAGACTTACTTTGATATGGGACCAAAACTGCAACATTTGTTTACGTTTTCAGTGCAGTTTGCATTCACACTCCACTTTGTCAAACRAACCAAACCCTGTGAATAACATGTTCTCCTTCTCACCTGTGGCGGCGCTGCACCAAGAATCCCTAAAGGAGATGACATGAAAATCTGAACCTAGTAATTTCATTAATAAGGTAACACTTGGTTATCACAGACCATACAACCACTATGTAAAATAGTGTTGCACCATGGCTATGGCCATGTTGCATCTTCTTTACTAAACAGAATTWAAAAAAAACCTGTCGCACAAGAGTGCTCAGTAAAAAATAATTTAAAGCATAGGCCGTTTTTTCAAAGCACGTCTCATTGGGATATGATGATTTATCTCATGTACGTCTTTTAAAATGCTATTTTTCTTTATTTATTTTCAGAAGTTTTCAAAAATGGCCACAATAAAAAAAATTAAAATAGTTTACATGCCTGGTCAGGCAAGTACCAGTCAAATTAACACTCAAGCTAACATAGGTATTTCGTTTCTACTATCCAATTAAATTTTATATTACAATCTGACGTTCAGTGTACCACCAAATGCAACTGCCCAACTGAGTTCTCACACTTTTTTGTACAGAAATACTATTCTTCAAACAAAATTAAAAGCTACAAAAACTGTGATTAATTTGACTGTAATTAGAACCACATCTAATTTTAAAATTTGGCTTAAAATACTTGTTCACTCAGGTGAGGAGTTGGGTACCTGCAGGGTCTCCAGAGACATCTTGATGTTCTTCAGTTCCCTCAACAAGTCAAGAGCACCATCCTGGAAAGAGATGGAGATTWATAATTAGGGCTGCCACGATTAATCGATTAATCGACGACTACTCGATTATTACTTTAATAATCGATTAATCGTTTTCTTTTTATTTGTTCTTTACTTTGTTTTTCTCTCCAAACTGCTTTGACACCTTCCACTGCCACATCTGCCTTTCTGTCCTTGACACACATGCACAGTAGTGGTAACTGGGGTAGGCCGTGGACGTCACAAGACATTATACAGACAGGCTCTGGTATCATGGCTACCCAGCAACGGAGCTCAAAAGTGTGGGATCATTTTAAGAAAATGAAAGAGAARCCTGTGTAATATCTGCAGAGCAGAACTTACCTTCCACAGCAATTATTTTTAGTTAGCACATAGCTAAAAACTAACCATGGTTATATAATAGCAGCTGCATTCTGGCACGATAAGCTGTATGTTTTATATTCAATTAACATATGATCTGATTAGTTGACTAATCGAAAAAATAATCGGTGATTAATCGATTATAAAAATAATCGTTTGTGGCAGCCCTGTTAATAATATGTTCTTACATAACAAAGGTAAAGTAGGTTTAATCAGTTTATTACTGGGTTTAAAGAACCCAGTTTAGTTTGACATCACTTCTAGAGAGGGGAAATTAAATTGGGTTACCCAGCATTTGTTGGACAGCAAATTGTTGGCCATATTTAATACCAACATTTCAGAATTCAATCATCTAATAAGGAGAAAAGACAAAGCTTCAGCCTATGTGGTCAAACCTTGTAAATGACGTGTGATTTTTAGTAAGATTAAATGTAGGGCTGTGTATTAGGGTTGGGCAATATTGGCAAAAAAATTGATCACGATTAATTGTGATATTTAGCCGATAACGATTAATTTGACGATTAAGGCTGGAGTCCCCCTGGACACAGTTATGTCCTAGTCACATAACYAAGTAGGAAAGATTTACTCTTCRTAAAAATCTCTTCCAAATTGTGTCAAAATTACAAACTTCAGGCTATACATCAATTTTTAAGTTGTGTTGATATAGATAAATAAATTACAGAACTTTTTTTAAACGTTCGTCATATTTGAAGCGGAGAGAAGCATCGAGCAGACTGACTGGAGATTAATCGTATTAATCGTCAAGTGCCAAAAAAATAAATCKATTAATGTTTTTCTGATGATTAATTGCACACGATATGATTATGCCCAACCCTACTGTGTATTAGCAAGAATTTGTTGATATGATACTTATCATGACTCAGGGATCATTATACAATATAGCATGATATACTGCGATACTGTAAGCTGTAGGGGTAACCCTGGTGAAATATTCATTTCTATTTTTTTGTCTTTGATTTTAATTTTTACACTTATAAGAAGAAATCATTTTAAAGTGTTTTTATTTTCTTTAAGGACAATAAGTCCTATATATATGTTATTTCATTTAATCTTCTATTAGAGGTTATGATCAATAT